GAGCTGAGCTGAACACACGTGGATAGGGCTGGCTAAGCCTACTGGTGGGGAGCCCCATAAAACAAGAGGGGGCTTAGTATGGATTAAACTCCACTTCAGTGTCTGAAGATGGGGTATAAGTACTGGGCTGACTAGCCTAAGGACGTGGAGAATCCGATCCTTCTGAACCTCGGCTCTTTCTGCAAAAAGGAGATTCCTCGATCTACCTTAACTACCTTAAAAGACAGTTATCAAGATTAAATAAAATCGGCCATCTTGCAAGAATTCTCCAGTCTTTGGTAGTGTGATATTTAGTTATGTCATCTTGTATTATCCAAAGCAGAGCACTGTGATAGTAAATGGAGGTACCACCCGTCATCATGTCAGAAAAATACCCATCAACCAACACCTTCCTGGGCACACCCAGTTGTATGGTCTCACATGTGTATATATGTCTATGTCGTCTATATCTATAATCTATACCCATTTATACCTGCCTACAACTATATCTGTGTATCTATATCAACATTTCCATCAATTCCATCAGTATCTTTCTTTATATCGACAACCACATATTCAAAAGCATTCACACCTTTACCCACGACCCACTATTTATTGATGCTGTTATTTTAACAACCATCTCAGAGAACCTTTCATGTTTCTGTTCATTTCTCTTTACATCCATGCCCTTCTTTTATCCATTTCTAACTAGGATGCTCTTTTTTCCCATGACTCTTTCATCACCTTGCACTTTCTCTCATTACATGGGTCTCTGCCCCTTCCCTTCCTCTGCTCTTTCTCCTAAAAAATAAACTGCCTACTTCTTATTTTGCATCTGTCATGTTTTCGAAGCAATGCTCTTTGTTCCTCTGACTACCAACAAAAGATGTTCTTTTTTTTGTAGATTTTATTCATTTATTTTTAGAGAGGGAAGGGAGGGAGAGAGAGAGAGAGAGAGAGAGAGAAACATCAATGTGCGGTTGCTGGGGGTCATGGCCTGCAACCCAGGCATGTGCCCTGACTGGGAATCGAACCTGAGACACTTTGGTTCACAGGCCACACTCAATCCACTGAGCTATGCCAGCCAGGGCCTGATGTTCTTTCTTAATGGGGGATCTAGTATACTTGAAGAATCAAGGGGTTGGGACTTGGTCCATGTGTATCACATTGGGAAAGCCATTTTATTAGTTTACACAGTTTTATCCTCTTGAAATTGTGATAATTATTCTGTATTATATTAAACGAGGTCTGGTAGAGAAAAGTGCATTACAATAGCAGCCATAGTTGTTCATCAGAGCCACCTTGGAAGATTCTGAACCTCTCTATTCCTAGGATCTCCCCCAGATCCGGTGCTATGGAATGATTTTGTTCTCTAAATCACTAATGCCCTGTGCAATGCTATTGGTAGACCGGGCCTTCTGGAGATGATTAGGTCATGTGGGTGGAGCCCAAACTATGGGATAAGCCCTCTCTCTGCTCTCTCTATAAGAGAATACAGCAGGAAGACAGCTATCATCAAGCCAGGAAGAGTCCTTACAAAGAAGGCAACCAAGTTGGCCCCCTGATCTTGGACTTCCCAGTCTCCAGAACTGTGAGAAACAATTTTCTATATTTTAATTTCCCCAGTCTAGGGTGTTCTTGTATAGCAGTTCAATCCAACAAAGCCACCCCTGAATGAAGATCTTTTACTGCACCTCAGGCTATTGCAATGTGCAGCCAAGGTTGACAACTACTAATGTGCAAACTGTTCAAGATTATAAAAATGTACATTAACACATGCGTGATGGCATTACAATGTTGTTAACTCTGTGGATTAGTAACTCTTTACAGAAAACATGTTATTCAGTCCTACTCTAAGGAGTTGGGAATGGGCCCTGGCTGGTGTGGCTCAGTGGACTGAGTGCTGGCCTGTGAACCAAAAGGTGGCCAGTTGGACTCCCAGTCTAGGGCACATGCCTGGGTTGCGGGCCAGGTCCCCAATAGGGGGCGTGCAAGAGGCAACCACACATGGATGTTTCTCTCCCTCTCTCTTTCCCTTCTCCTCTCTAAAAAGAAATAAAATCTTTCTAAAAAATGCTGGGAATGCGAGAGGGAGGAAGAAATTTTAATCCATTTTGAACTATCCCAAACCATGTTCTAAAAGACTCGCAATGATAAAATTACCTCATTACTTAGCTCTGACACTCTAACTTTGAACACGTGAAGCCTGGTTCCTCCCTTCGCTTTGGCTAAGACTTGCAAGTAGTTACACCTCCCTCAAAAATGACACCCTGGTGGGGCTTATCATTTAGAACCTACTACAATATCAAAAGAGACATCTAATCTCTTTCAAAGAGAAATTGTGAAAGAGAGAGAACTGGAAAGGTGCTAATTGCTAACTGTGGCTTCATTTGCTAATTGTTCATTTAACTTCTAAAACTAATGATTAGGGATATACTCCATACTGCAAACGGGGACTCCCCAGAAACTCTGCTAATTAGAGAATCTTTTCATAATGGCCATTACTCAGTAGGTAAGGAAAAAATCAGAAAGATTCTCATTATTTGTAAAAGGTATTAGTGACAGGGACAGTGCAAACACTTTCCAAAGCAGTCCAGTTCCTCACATCTTTTTTTAAGATTTTATTTATTTCTTTTTAGAGAGGGAAGGGAGGGAGAAAGAGAGAGGGAAACATCAATGTGCGGTTGCTGGGGGTCATGGCCTGCAACCCAGGCATGTGCCCTGCCTGGGAATCGAACCTGCGACACTTTGGTTCGCAGCCCGCGCTCAATCCACTGAGCTACGCCAGCCAGGGCTCCTCACATCTTAAAAGAGAGTCTCTGAGGACTGTGGACAGACGCCCCAGAGATTTGGAAAAGTGGCACTGTTCATTTGCTCATCTCCTCTTACACATGTCAACAGCTGGCTTTAGGCCCTTGTAAATGTGAAGATGCCACCAAGGGTCGTCCTCGCTCCTATCTATTGACCAAATAGCCTGGAAGGTACAGGGACCCAAACCTACCCAGGGAAGAAGGGAAACCCTTTGTACCTGGAGGAGTCGGACATGCACCTTCATGCATTCATAATGTACGCTTTTCTTGAACACTTCCATTTTTGGGCAGAGATGTTCCCTTTAAAATTGATTGATTGATTTAGAGAGGAGAAGGGAGGGAGGCGGAAATAGATGGAGACCAACATCGAAGTGAAAGAGAAGCATGAACAGATTGCCTCTGCTCAGCGCCCCAACTGGGGACTGAACTTGTAACCAGGCAAGCGCCCTGACTGGAAATCAAACCAGCGACCCATCACTTTAGGATGAAGACAGATCACCTGAGCCACATCAGTCAGGGCAGTTTTCTTCTGTTTTGACGCAAAGCATCTATGATACCATAACTGGGTCAATGACATAAGTTCATGACCGTGTTCCAAAATACAGGGCACAGTATAATATAAAAATACCTTTCTGCCCTGGTTGGCATAGCTCAGTGGATTGAGCGCAGGCTGCGAACCAAAGTGTCGCAGGTTCGATTCCCAGTCAGGGCACATGCCTGGGTTGCAGGCCACGGTCCCCAGCAACTGCACATTGATGTCTCTCTCTCTCTCTCTCTCTCTCTCTCTCTCTCTCTCTCTCTCTCTCCCTCCCTCCCTTCCCTCTCTAAAAATAAATAAATTTTTAAAAATCTTAAAAATAAAAGAATTTCACTTAGGGTGGAGAAGAAAGCAGGGCTGACCCTTACTCTTTTGAGAGGTGTCACATAAACATTCTTCTCATACAACTGCACAGCACCAGAGCACGAGGGAAAAGTTTGGTGGGTACTCAGAAAGGTAAGCCCAGAAGTACCCTATGATCCAGCAAGTCCGCTCCCAATTAGATGCCCAAGACAGTGGAAAACAAGGACACACACAGATACAGGCACACCAATTATTTACAGAAGCACCGTTCATAAAGCCCGAAGGTACAGGTAACCTCACTATCCATTGGCAGATACATGGATAAGCACATGTGGTATGCACCCACACAATGGAGTATTATTCAATTTGAAAAAAGGAATGAAATTTTGGTATGTGCTACACATGGATGAACCTTGAGGATATTATACTAAGTGAAACAAGTCCCATAGAAAAGGAAAATACTGCATGATATAACTTAAGTGAGGTACCTAGAATAGGTAGATTCATAATGCCAGGAAGTCGAACAGAGCTTACCAGCGAGCTGTGAACAGGAGGAAAAGGAAGTTCCTGTTGGGGACGATGAAAAAGTTCTGGGAATGGGTAGTGGTGATAACTGTACCACACTGTGAAAATACTTAATGTCACTAAATTGTACAACTAAGAAGGAGTTAAAATGGGAAATTTTCTGTTATATATATATATATATATATATCCACATTTTTTTTCAAAGCACCACTGCCCTGGCTGGTGTGGCTCAGTGGATTGAGGGCCAGCCTGCGAATCAAAGGGTCACTGGTTTGATTCTAGTCAGGGCACATGCCTGGGGTGCGGGCAAGGCCCCTGGTAGAGGGGGCACATGAGAGGCAACCACACATTGATGTTTCTCTCCCTCTCTTTCTCTCCCTTCCCTGCTCTGTCAAAAAAGTAAAAAACATCTTTAAAAAAAAGCACCAGCAAAATCAAAACCTTAGTCAATGTCAGTGTGACAAACTTATGACACAATCCATAATGCACATAATTCCTTGAGCTGATTTTTCTAGTTACAGGTGAGTTAGTAACATTTCTGTCTCGAGTATTTCTAGAAAGTATTGTGGGTGGTACTCCTCATGCCAAACTTTTGTGTGAGCATCAGACAATGAGCACCCCCCAGGGCTGCCTTGGGGACTGTCACTCTAAGAATGTACCTGTCCAAGAACAAAGCGACTACATGTCACAAGATACAGTAAATACGGGAAATCAGTTTCATGGTGCCATGGCCTCCAGATGGTCATAAGTACACAATATACATATGTTAGTCCTCCTGAGTAAAGGGTCAACACAGCGACATCCAAACACCCAAAGATTTGATGGTCATGTCAGGCTCAACCTACCTGATGAAGCAGTCGCGGCCATCCCGGTTCGACGTCATCTCCCATCCATAGGGCGCAACCTGGTTCAAGCCCCAGGTTCCAGAGGGAGGGGGCCAGCCTGAAGACTTGGTCCTGTGGCTAGAAAAAAAAATGAAACAAAAGCATCATTACACCAGACTCCCGAACATTTCTTCTGAGACGCACCAGAAGGGGCCCAGCACTTGCTCCTCTCCACGGTGGGCTGTATGTATCCTGAGCTGATGAAATGAATCGTTTGTGACAGGTGCAAGCTCGGAATTTTGCTTCATAGTATTTGGCTTAGTGTTTACCAGATGCCCTATGAGGGAAATGTACTGACTCCATTTTGCGGATGAGGAAACAACGAATGTCCCAGGAAGATCTAGTTTCTTAGAGGACACACAAGCCAGTTCTGAACAAAAGTTTTGCACACTTTCCATTAAGTACGCATTCCTGAGACCAGACACTGGGATATCACACCACAATAGCAATACACATGTAAAAATAAACGACATTAATGGGTCTTCGGGTCCAATACCCTGAACTATTCAGACCAAAGACAAAATTTCCACACGTACTAGCCATACTGCAACTCAAGGTAAGCCATAACACCTTAGACAAACTTCCAGATGAATCTGCAACAAAAATCCAAATCTTATCTGACTTGTCAGCAAAATGAAAGGATAGGTCATAGAGAAGTTTCTAGAAGAGTGCTTTTCCAAGATGAACAGGAAAGGGGAAGTGACTCCACATGACAAAATGTTGTGATGGGCAGCGCTGCCCAGCCACATTCCCTAACCGTGGCTTGAGCCCAGTTTAAGCAACACCACCAAGTCCTGGTCAGTTCACTGCTCCCTGGGACCTGTAGAATTTCCACTAGCCTGTGAATATCCAAGACTCCTTCCGAGATGAACAGTGGAAAAGAAACAAGCGATACCATGTATGATTCGCCAACATTCCTCATTATTTCGCCTTCTGCTCCAGGTGAAGTTACTCACTAGAGAGTCTGCAGGAGCCTGCGGACAGTTCCCAACTGCAGTCTGGCACCAGACAGTGTGGGCAACAGCAGGGATGGTATTTCAAGCACCTCACCATCAGCATCTCAGTAGCGCGCGGACCCTGACTCCTACGACAGGCACAGCATTCACAGCTTACACAAATATGCCTTGTAGATCTCATGCAGCCAACACCCAAAACAGGAGTGTCCACCTGGTTCTGAGGAGGGGGGGGACTTAATTCCCCGTGGGGCAGGGAAACTCACCCCAAACCCGCATCCAACTCATACATCTGTCAGGGACCCAAAACGTCCTCAGGAGAAAGAAGCCCATTTCCTGTAAGTTTTCCAGAGAGACTATTTGGCATAATTTTAACCACCTCCCAAGCTTTTCTTCAACTTCCTTCCGGTTTTCACGTGTCCGTCCTAAAGCGTGGTGAACAAGAGTTCACACACTTAGTACAGGTCTGGCAAATTTTGAATGCTACCATAGGATTATTTCTTGTCTTTTGACGGTTCCAAAAACAAAGACGTGGCAAGAGTTTTTTTTTTTTTTTGTTCCTCTCCTTCCTGCAAAACTCAGCAGTAGCAATTTCCTCGGGTGGTTTTTTAACAAAATGTGCTACTTCCCCGCAGGGAGAGAACACACGAGTTTCCACGCTGAGCCACCACCCCAAACCACCAATTTTGCGACACTCGCTGAGAGCCCACTGGGAACGCTTTCGAAGGTGGGACCAAAAACCCCCAGCCCTTAGAGATATGAATACAGTATATTCTGTTATTACAGCTTTGTGACACCATTAGTACAGTATGGGGTGACACCAAGAATACTCTTGAAAGAGAAAGGAGGCCTAGGTAGAGAATGCAACCACTGATTCCGCATTTACTAAATTACGTGCTGTATCAGAATATTAACCTTTTCCAGAGGGGGTAACTTCTTAAAAGCAAATACAGCACACTGCCTTTTCTCTTTTCTTTCCCTTTCTTCCATTGTTTCCCCTGGCCCCTGAAGTCTAAAAATCACAGAAAGAAAGACACAGGCTTCCTTGTGTAATTGACGTGTAAAATACTGTAATTGTAATAATGAGCTCGAGGAAACCTGAATTTTATTGCGAATGACATTCTGTCCTGGACGGTATGTTCAGGGAGGAGGAAACAACAGTCCAGAACGTTGTTTTCCAATAAATCTTTTTTAAAATCCTCACTGGATGATATGTTTATTAATTCAGAGAGAGAGAGAGAGAGAGAGACAGGCAGAGAAACATCAATGTAAGATGGAAGCATCGATCTGTTTCCTCCTGTATGCACCTGGACTGGGGATCGAACTCAGAATTTAGACACGTGCCCTCACCAGGGATGGAATCTGAGAATGTTCTGTGGATGGGACAACGCTCCAAGCAACTGAGCCATCAGGCCAGACTCCCATAAATTCTCTTGTCATAAAACACCAAGTGAAGAACTACACCTGGAAAAATCCTCAAACACTAATTGAGTTAATTTAGGTGAAAGGACATCACTAATTAAACTAAGACATGACTATGTATCTGTCTGTTCCTGTGTTGACATAAAATGCACAGGTCACAAAGGCATGAGTAAAGAGTAGGGAATTAAAAGCGCGAGATGAAAGGTAAGTCTTTGCATACATCTATCCATAACAGTCTGGAGAAAAGGCAAGGATGCGGGTCATAATTGTGGAGGGATTTGGCTGCCGTCTCTGTGCCGTGTGGTTACTGGAAGTCCACCCCAACGATATCCAGCCTTGGGCGCTGGTTGTTTATTCTCAACTGGGAAGATGCTCCAGGAACCTGCTTTTCCAACTCCCACCTCTGTGGCTGCACCAAACTCCCCACCACTCCCAAATACCTCCCATCCCATTACTGCTGAAACAGTTTTCTACCCGAAGGCAAACAAGTGTCCACTGTAAGAGCAGCCGAAGGGCCAGTGCATATAAAGGCAGAGTCCCTGGCTGTCTGGCTTTAGAAGCCCCTCTAGTACAGAAGAGATGGCAGCAGCGGGGTGTGGCGGCACAGCGCCGCCTGGCTTCTGGAGCAGCAACTGCGGTCTCAGGACAAATAGCACACAGGCATTTCTTAGAAATGCACATTACTAGGCAGCACCTAAGACTACTGAACCCAAAGCTCCAAAGCGAAGGGGCAACCAAGCCGCCGTGCCCCACGCTGGTGCCCACGCAACTCCTAGAAACACCGGGTTGCCGGGTTGGAATCCAACTCTCTTGGATCCAGGCTCTGCCGGTTCTTTTTCATCAGTTTGAGGAAGTTACTGAACCTCTCTAACCCACTCAGGCCCAAAACTCTTCTATAAGATTGTGATCATAGGACCATGTCCTTGAAAGAATATTACATGTGTTTTAAAAGGACTTAGTAGGCTGCTGCCTGGCCCACAGTGTAGCATGTGCTATCAAATCTCTGCTACACACATCTCTGCCTCCCCCTCGAGAGGACATGGGACTTTGGGTAGGAAGGAAAGCCTAAATGGCTTTATCTGGGCTCAAACTAGAAAAGGGTGGAAGGATCAGGCATCCGAGTTTCCCCAATCCGGTAAGACAAGGGCCAGAAGGTGTTGCAGCGAGCCGCAGTTACACCAGGAGTTGAAGAGTTTCAGCTGGTCTCAAACAGAATAAAATATTAGATAGTTTTTCCCAGGAGCCAGGACTACCAGCTGTGCGTGCCCTCCCCGATAGGCAGGGTCAACTTCTCCTCGTCTCAGGCCGGGCCCTGAGATTCCTTGCGACTCTGATTGTTCCGTGACTTCAACCTGAGATCATGGCTGTGTGAACCGCATTCAAACACTTAGCTCAGCTTTAAAAATAGCGACCTACATTGGCGGCAGGACTATTTCAGTCCGTCCAGAAACTCCCCAGGATTCACTGAACTGATTTGTGACTTTGCGCTTCACCCATCTATTCTCTGCAACAGATGGAAACTGTCCTGGGCATCAAAGATCTTCCTAATGTGCAGGAAGCGGTAACAGCGGTGACTGGGACAGGCAAGGTTGCAGAGCTCTTTGTGCTGGGCCCTCGGGCGGAAGCGACCCACGGTTTTTCTTCCCGTCGGTACACTGCAGGAACCTTAATACGATCTTCACGGAGAACCTGACCTAGGAACAGGTGGGCTCTTAGGAAACGACCTGCAGGCTCTCTGGTGACCGCAGTTTCCTAGGAAACACACTTCAGGGTCACAAAAAGGGATGCCGTGTGAGAAAGGGGAAACGAGGCCCGGTTCCGATCCCGGGTCAGATTCAAACACTGCTAGCTTTGTGGCCCCGGGCTCTGAACTCTCTTCTGCCTTATTTTCATCATCTGTAAACTAGAATTAGTCTCACTCATTGATTCTCAGGCTGGGGTGGTTTTGCCCCAGGGCCCACTTGCCAATGACCATGTCTAGAGACATTGTTGGCTAACAACGGGGGACAGGAATTCTGTCATCTACTGGGTGGAGGCCAGGGTTGCTGCTCACCAACCTTCAATGCACAGAACAGCCCGCAGAACACAGAATCATCCAGAAAAACTGACAGTGGTGTCCCTCCTTAGCTCCTACAGTAATAAATGTATAGAATTCATAGCTCAGGGCTTAACCTATAGTTGGTGCTGAATACACTTTAAAAAAAAAAGCATTCTTCCCTGGCTGGCATAGCTCAGTGGATTGAGCGCGGGCTGCGAACCAAAGTGTCGATTCCCAGTCAGGGCATATGCCTGGGTTGCAGGCCACGGCCCCTAGCAACTGCACAGTGATGTTTCTCTCTCTTTCTCCCTCCCTTCTCTCTCTAAAAGATAAATAAATAAATAAAATCTTTTAAAAAAAAGCATTCTTGACGTTTCCACTTGAAGCTTAATTATGATAAGTAGATGTCTTTACATCAGAAAGAATGACTTTAAATCCCAGGTTGGCCACTTAATAGCTGCACGGCTTTGGGTGAAATCCTTGGCTTTCCTGGGTTTTAGCTTTTGCATCAAATGGAAACCACACCCAGCTCCCAGCGATGTTACACTGATCAGTGAGATCTATAAAGCCAGGAGAACAGGGCTGGACTCCTACAGAATCATCCACAGACGGTATGCTGCGCTGCAAGTGGTTCTAATAGTATAACAGCTACTTTTGCGTTTGAC